AAGGGTTGTGGGGTTTTGCGGCGCCCGTCTGCCTGTCACACGGCCCCCCTTTGAATGCAGCCTTGCGTAACTGCCACTGCCATCACTCCATCAGCGGCTGGAGGGGATCGTGGCTCCCTGGGGAGGAAGGAGGGAGCCGGTGTCACCTAGGTTGTGTTGGGAAAGAGGCACAGCTGCTCACAACCTGCGGAGGAGCCCCCACCGCAGGGGAGCCAAGGGCGCATGGGGTCAGAGCTCCTGGTGGACGGGCCTTCCAGCCAGTGAGCACAGAGACACTGTCCCGTGCCCCGCTGCTCTGCTCAGAGAGATCCAGGTCCAAAGCCCGGGGAGCCAGGCTCCATTCCAGCACCAAAGACAACCGGCTTCCGTCCAGCCTTAGCTGATCCACGCACCAGTTGATGCCGCCTCTCACTCGGCGCTGACTCCTGGAAGAATCCAGCCTGCAAAAATCAAAGAGCATCCCCCCATCACCTCCTTCATCCCGTCCCAGGCATCTTTTTTTTTTTTTTTAATATATATATTTTGGAAATTTTTTCATGTTCCAGGTTAAATGAGCCAGGTCAATTCTGAATCCTTTGGAATCGTTCAGAGACCCATGTGTGGCCCTGCTACCATTAAGTATCCTCCACCCCAGACTTTTTCGGTCCCAGGCATCTTTGAAAACACAGCGACTCAGCTCATCCCTTGTGAGGTGCTGGTCCACATAAACTTCATAGACATTAGGGGCTGGAAGGGACCTCGTGTGATCATAGAGTCCAGCCCCCCTGCTATAGGCAGAAAGTCTGCTGGGGTCAAATGATCCCCACAAGATAAACATCCAAACACCTTTTGAATGAGTCCAGAGTAGGTGCTTGTAGTCTGTTCCAGGGTGCACCCCCTTACGTACTTATAGGCTGCCACCAAGTCCCCCCTGAGCCTTCTCTTCTCCAGGCTGAAGAGTGCCAAGTCCCTCAGCCTCTCCTCATAAGGCTTGCTCTCTTCGCCTTTGATCATGTGGGTGGCTCTCCTCTGGACTCTCTCAAGGTTATCCACGTCCCTCCTGAAGTGGGGGGCCCAAAACTGGATGCAGTACTGCAGCTGCAGCCTCACTAAGGTCAAGTAAAGTGGGAGGATGACATCCCTGGTTTTGCTAGGGACGTGTCAATGGATGTGTGCCAGAGTTTGGTTTGCTTTGCCAGCCACGGCATTGCATTGGTGGCGCATGTTCATCGTGTGGTCAATCAAGACCCCCCAAGTCTCTTTTGGTCATGGTGCTAGTGAGCATAGCACTGGGGAGCCTATAAGTATGCTGCTGGTTGTTTCTCCCAGGTGGAGCACCCTGCTCCTCTCTACATTGAATGCCATCAGGTTTTGGTCCACCCACTTGGCAAGCCTGTCCTCCAGTGTGACTGCCTTCCCTCGTAGATTGGTGTCGTCCACAAACTTTACCAGTCTGTATCTGATGCCCAAATCCAGATCATTAATGAAGATGTTGAAGAGTACTGGCCTGAGTACTGAGCCCTGATGGACTCCACTGGTCACCTTGTGCCATGGTGAATTTGCTCCCATCAACTAGTACCCTGTGGGTCCAACCCTGGAACCAGTTCCCCAGCCATTGGACTGTGAGATGCTCAAGGCTACAGAGCCCCAGCTTAACCATGAGGACATCATAGGAGACCAAATCAAAAGTTTTCTTGAAATCCAGATATACAACATCAACCTCCTTCATCCTGAGAACAGATCGTGGCCCACAGGGGTCCTCTCAGCAGGATCGGCCCCGTCCTCTCCTGCTTTGTGGAACACTCCCTGCCCATCCAAATGCCTGGGCTCTCTCAACAGGGCCAACCATTCCCTCTTAAAGGGACAGCCCACCCCACTATGCATTCTTCCCTGACAAAAAAAGCATAGTCTTCGATCCACTCTGCCCTAGCTAACCCCACCCCCTGCTCCTTGTCAGAAGTAGTCCACATTGGCACTGGATGTCGAAGGAGCAGGGTTGGCGTCTCGTGTTGCCGTGCCAAGGGGGCATGATCCCTACCTGGTGTAAGAGGGACCCCAAGGAAGTGACAGCGGATAAGCAGGACACACCACCTGTTCCAGGCCTCGCAATGATTTAACCCAAGTTTTGGGGTACAAGATACCCTGCCTTATTTTCCCCCTGCCTGGAGGCGAAGGGGCTGCTGAGTCCATTCCTAGCCCTGTAGCCGCAGCTGCTATATGGGGATCAAGGATTCAAACCCCTGCAGCGCCAGAGAAGAATTAACCCTGCCTCCTGCCCCTGCATCCATTGCTGTCCTGAGTGCCCCAGGGGCAAGGTGCCAAGCAGAAGCTGCCTGGCTTCCCCTGTGTTAAGCCAAATGCATGTCATCAGGGGCCTGACTCATGCCATCTCCACACACGTGGCTGGCAGGGATTGGCGCAGACCCCACCGCGAGGGAGCCGCATTTTCCTTGAGCCGTGACTCTGCAGCCAGCTGCGGGTCAGCGGATAGGGCACCCAGCCACTGCTCACCCTGGCCAAGCAGCCCGCTGGGCAATTAGCGTGTCAGCCCAGGCGGCATGGAGGTCACTAGGCCGTCTGCTAGGAGGTCTGGTGTTCCCATGGCTCCTGCCCAGGGCAATCCCCTCCTGCAAAGCAGCTGTTCCTCCCCCACCGCTGTTGCAGGCCACATGTCTCACTCCTCTCCCTGCATGCCTGTCACTACCCAGCCATCCCCCAGCTGCCCCCCCCCAGCCCCCTGCATGGAAAAAAACAACAATCCCCTTTCATTGCAGCTCTGAGCCAGGACTTGATGGGGCTGGCTGGCTCTCCCCGGGTCCCAGAGAACAACACCAAGAAAAATCAGAAGACCATCCCCCCCCACCCCCCAGAACTCTTTTTTTTTTACAAGCTTTTTGGCTATTTGGGGTACAAAGGAGCCATTTCCGTACCCACTTTCAACTCTGAAGAGACAAATAAGAAGGGCCTGGATCTCCCAACCACGAGCTGTGTCGATCAGCAAACGGTCTCAGCCAGGACAGCCCAGAAAAAAGAGATCTAGGGGGGCTGGGGGCTCCTTTCACCTAGAAGGATTCTTCCCACCCAGGGGCATCCAATTTGTCCTTTCAATTGGACCCGGACCTGGACCCGGACCCATCTCCAGCAGCAGGGAATTGTGGGTTATTCATTGGCTTTAAATGAAGCCTGAGATTGGAGAGATCTGATTCATCAAAGTGCCGGCACATGCAGCACCTAGTGCTCCAAGGAGAAGGGAGCAGGCCTGCCTCTCAGCAAGTGAATTGGGGAGGGGACAGCTACACACATTTTTGGGGGTTCTGGGGGTTCGGGGGAGGTGGGGAGCAGGACCCAGTTCCAGGATAAAAAGGAGCAGTAGAGTTCTGGGTGGGTACCAGAGTGGCCAGTTATAGTGCAGGGGTGCAATGCCTGAAGAACTGCCCCCGTTGTCATCTGCTCACTGCACGGAACTGATCATCCAGGAGGCTTCAAGTCGGACTCACAAGCTTGTCTGCGCGTCTGCCCGGGCTCTGCTTCCTGCGTGCCCCTTGCCCCTGCTTCAGCCTTATTTCGGGGGGAGAGAAGCCCTGGCCTAGGACCCATCTTGCCCCCTCCAGGTTCAGAACCAGCTCCAGCATCCGTCCCCAGCACCATGTTTGCTGAGGATACTGCACAAATCCCCAGGCCCTGGAATCCCAGGATTCGGGCCGAGATGACCCCCTTGCCACACAGCCCCACGGTCCCAGGACAGGAGGGCTGGGAGGCCGCGGCCTTCCCAGATGTCACGGGTCCAGCTGCCCCAAGAGGGCTCATCCCAGTCTCCCCCAGGTCAGGACCAGCCCAAGAGAAGGCCCCTTGCCCAGGCAGCAGCCCCCGCCTTGCGTCTGGGGCAAGCAAAGCCACAGCTGTCCCCCTGAGGGGAGGACACCAGACACATCAGGGCTGGTCCCTGCAGCTCTGCTGGCCCTGCTCAACCAGGGATGCCTGCCCGCCCACCCCCAGAGAGGGAAGGACACCTGGTATAGCCGTCCTTCCTGATGGGTGGGGGGGGTGGGAAGAGGAGGAGACAAACCCCAGGGGCAGTCCAGGTCCCGCAACTGATGCTCAAGCGCTGACCTCTAGTGGCTGGACTGGGGCTGTACCGAGTGGAGCCAGGCAGGGGAGCCAAACCACGGGTCAGAGTGAGCCACCGTGGGGCATTTCTGGCCAAGATTTTTGGAG